TTTTCTCTGACAAACTTTTCTCTGACAAACTTGTTTTTTCTGTATTGTTACCCACAGAGGTGATAAAAAAAAGATGTGGACGTTCGTTCAGTCATAAATCCATCTTGCTAATGTAACAGTTTTGCTCTGATGATGAAGATGAGAGCACAGCAGCAAGTTCAGCAGGCAAAAACTCATTGTATGGCAGGCAGATGTTACATTTATTTGGCTTCACCACACTTACATTCTAGTTATCTGAAATAGTTTTATGACTATATGTGCACACTTAAACCCCTTAAGGTCCTGTCACACTACAACATTTTAGGCAACATTGATTTTTTTTTATGTCTGAATGACCAGTTTTACTTGAAGTAATGGTTATAACATCCATTTTATTTTGAGAAAATTTGAGAAATATTTTTGTTGTTGAAATCATTTTGCAATATATATAAAACATTCTTTTGTACTTCTGTTATGTTCATTTGCACTACAGCAAAAATGCTGGGTTTGATTACGGTTACAGATCTGCATGGTTTCTGCAGTGGCCTTTTTATTGAAGTAATCAGTGATGTGAACAGTAAAACTGTTTATTATTCACTTGTTTTGTCTTGTTCAGTGATGGCAGATGTGTTAATACATGTATATTGCTTTTAAACTTTGCACGTAGTTGTCAGCACTTGAAATAATTTTCCAGCATCATAATATTAATTTAGTGTTTTGCTGCTTTAATGGTTGAAAAAAGTCTAAAAGCTTATTTCAGGTTTAAAGAATTTGATCAGAAACACAGAAAAAGTTTCAGATATTTGTTACGGTGTAAATGTCTCTTATGGTTTTGGAATCAGCATTTTTTAAAATGTAGTAAATTTTCCTGCTTTTACTTTTATCCGTTGCTGTAGATGACATGAATTGGAACGCGCTGGAGTGGGACAGAGCGGCAGAGGAGCTCACCTGGGAAAGGGTAACTCAGAATATTTCTGCATCRTTTCTGCACCTCGATGATGTTTGCACAACTAAACAAGTATCGTTTCCATTTCCTGCTTAGATGCTTGGCCTGGATGGTTCTCTGGTATTTTTGGTAAGGCTTCATTTGTGCTGTATAAGTGTTCCTGCTAAACACGGTTAATGGATCATTAACTTAAAATCTGATGTTTGACTTACAGGAACATGTGTTTTGGGTGGTGTCTCTGAACACACTCTTCATTCTGGTCTTTGGTGAGTAGATTTGAAAACATATGCAGCTGATAAAGTGCATATTCACATGTTTTTTCTCATATCAATAACACAGATTTAAAACTCTTTCAATTTTTTTTRTTGCYCAAATTATTARGGGTGCAACAATACAGAAAATTTTCGATTTGCTTCGATACTTTAGTCTCAAGCTTGGATTATAAGATGTGCAACAGCGGGTTGGTGATTGCGTCATTTTGGGCGTCTTTTTCCTGAGCGCGTATAAAGAGCGGTTTAAAGACGCTGCAGGCCATAAATTATCATARATCTTCCCTCTGCCCTCCCACAGCTCACATAAGTACATAAACAACAATAATGATGGCTGGATATTGTGTTTTTTTATCACTCAATGATCAGTGTTTTGTTGAATGGAGAGTCTGCAAAAGGAAAACTTTTTTTATGTTAACGGTGGTAAAAAATTATCTGCATGCTCACGTTCAATAGGATGAAAAAAGCTGCTCTTCTAGCTCTTTTAACAACTGGCTTCAGACAAAAAAGTAATTTTAAACAAAATAACACGCAGAAGGCAGAGCTGATCAGAGTCCAGCTCCTCAACGCTCCGCAGGCTGGACGTCCGCACGAACAAACACACTCACGAGAGTCTAACCAATCACACGCTCAGAGCCACGAGGTCCGCGTCGCACAGTTCTGACTGGGGGCAGCGTACAAGAAGGCTGTCACCACGGGAGAGCAGACGGAAGTTGTGTAATTTTTTTTCACTCAGCAGGGGGAACAAGACGTGCAAACCGAAGTATAAACCAGCCTTTACATTTTGATRTTTTTTATAAATAAAAAAAGAGAATTGTTCATGCTCTTCTTAACTTGTACTTTATTGAAATGAATTATGAACATTGGTTTAACCTCAAAACTACAGTTTGTAAATGAAATGTTGCTGAAATAGTAAGACATTGCAGYCTGGGTGGAGTAGTCGAACACAGATCCACTGATCCTTCAACACAGACMATCTTCAGGAGACAAGTTGATAAAATAAATTCAAAAATCTGTATTGTTTGATACATAGTGTGTATTGAACGTAGGGCTGCCACGATTAGTCGACGACTAATCGATTACTAAAATAATCAATGACTAATTTAATAATCAATTAAATTCCAAACTGCTTTGACAGCTTCCACTGCCACATCTGCCTTTCTGTCCTTGACACACATGCACAGTAGTGGTAACTGGGGTAGGCCGTGGACGTCACAAGACATTATACAGACAGGCTCTGGTATCATGGCTACCTGACAACAGAGCTCAAAGTGTGGGATCATTTTAAGAAAATGAAAGACAAACCTGTGTAATATCTGCGAGGCAGAACTTACCTTCCACAGCAATTATTTTTAGTTAGCATATAGCTAAAATCTAACCATGGTTATATAATAGCAGCTGCATTCTGGCGCGATAAGCTGGATGTTTATATTCAATTAACGTATGATCCAATTAGTCGACTAWTGTAAAAAAAATCTGTGATTAATTGATTATAAAAATAATCGTTTGTGGCAGCCCTAATTGAACGGTTCGAAACAGATACATACAGTAGTTGCACAATTAAATAAAATGTTTTCCCTCTTTCAGCTTTTTGTCCCTACCACATCGGGCACTTCTCAGTGGTTGGCCTTGGCTTTGAGGAATACGTAAGACACTTAAATCACTTCATCTTTAATGTGAAAAATGATGTATTTGCTGACTTAATTCATTTAAAAATATTAATTACGACTTCAGGTTCAAGCGTCTCACTTTGAGGGCCTCATCACCACGATTGTGGGCTACATCCTGCTGGCCATGACTCTCATCCTGTGTCACGTATCCTTCTGTCTGACTGTCTCCACACGCTGCCAAGAGGCTTTAATTTAATCCAAACACATCTGATAAATTCAGTCCAAACTCTTGTGCCGTATCGATCCTTAGTTGCCATTTCAGGGACTCGCTGCTCTGGTCCGGTTCCAGCGATCCCGGCGTCTCCTTGGAGTCTGCTACATTGTTGTCAAGGTAATGTTTCTAAATGTAATTCTGCTCTCGTTGGCATTGACCTTTGCAGAAGTACTGATCTAATCTTCCCTTCTGTTCCTAAATGTATCACAAAATAGCAGGGTTCCCGCAGATCTTTAAAAAGTCTTAAAAGGCCTTGAATTCATCAATCCAAAGATAAGGCCTTAATTAGCCTTAAAATGTCTTAAATCAGTCTTCAGAWGTCTTAAAAATGTTAACACATTGTAAGCAGAATGACTGTAATTTGTATCAAATATTAAAATAATTGTTAACCTTTTATTTTTGAAATATTCCCATTCAGATGTTCCCTTTTGACATCACTTCCTGTTATTTCGCATGYAAATATCTCAACAAATGTCCATCTGAGCAACGTGAATTTTGTTTTCTAATATGTTAATAATGTTGTCTTTCCAAAAATACATTCATATTTCTTACAAACATTTTACATCACAGGCACTTTAAGGTTTCATCTACAGCAAGCTGCGGTTGAGAACCCACTGTGGGTCCTGAAACTCCAAATATTTGGGTCATTAGAGGATTTCCAGAAATTAAATTAAGTTTAAATCTGACTGCTAACAATGGATTTTTTTTGCTATATTTGACAAAACAGCAATTATATATGGATTAAAATAATTAGTCTATTAGCAATATTTGAATAATTCAACCAAAAATATTTTGATTCATGAGTTTCTTCTAGGTTTTATTTTTTGTCCTTTGTGTTTATTATTGTATTATTGTATTATTATTAAGTCTTAAAAAGTCTTAAATTTAACTTGCCTTAAATTGTAGGAACCCTGAATACAAAATTGTTTGCTTTGATGAGTAAAAATTAAAATTCAAAGCTTTAATCGGGCTTGAAATTGAGACATTCGTCGGCGGTGCCCCCCACCCCCGTGTGTTCAGAACCAGCACTGTTTCTYCTCAGTCAAACTAAACAGGTGGACAAACCTCACGAGTCGAGTGTGGTGAGTTTAGACCACCTCAGACAAACATCCACCTGTCAGGTGTTAACCGTTCCCACACCTGCCTGTTTTTCCTTTGAGCACATCCTGCCTGCTTATGTTTACCAGACGTTACTGTTTTCAGTGTTTCTTTTCTCTCTCAGGGGTCATGATGCAAACAGTCAAACACTGACAGTTTCTCAATGCCATTTAAATTATTTGATATCCCGTTTTATTTTTATAATATTTAAATTCAAAATGTCTTTATCTAAAACCATCTCTTTTGTTACAGGTGTCTTTACTGGTTGTTGTGGAAATTGGTGTTTTCCCATTGATCTGCGGCTGGTGGCTCGACATCTGCTCTTTAGTAAGACCCTTCATTTAGTTTATGCTCTGATATTCTCCATTCATGTCTAACTCAGCACTATTCAACTAAACTGCTCCAGGGGCCACAGTTAGTGTAGACCAACAGCTCAGGGGCCGAACGTCCAGCATTTAAAGTTGTTATGTTAATAAACCATGTATTACAAAGATCTGTTACCTTTGAAACAGTTTATTTTGCTGCATTTAATCATGAATACAACATACAGAACCCTATAAAAGTAATGATGATTAAACAATATCAAAAACAAAAATAACACGTTATGCCTCATATTTGACAAACATTATTTTGACATCTCTGACTTGCCAAATTTTTAAACCAATTTTATTTTCACTTTCATCGTTTTATCTTCAACACTAGTTTTAACTGTCTTGGATATTCATAGAAATTGTATTTACCAGCTTTTAGCCAAGATTCTGACATTTCTCTACATACTGCACACGTAGATGTCTAACTAAAGTAAACTTAGAGTAATTAAAGTAGAAAACCGGGGGTTTGGGCTTAAGAGATGAATGAACCAATTGGYGGGCCGAACTTTGGGCCTACAGTTAAATAGCCCTGGTCTAACTTTTTGAAATAATTAGCTATTTTGTGATAAACTTATTTTGGAGCAAAATTTAGTTGTTTTTTTGTTTTGTCTTGTAGGGTTGGGCAAAATCTGATTTTGTGCTATTAATCGTCAGAAAAACTTTTATCGATTATTTTTTGTCACTTGACGATTATACGATTAATGCCACTGGGCAGACTGACTGGAGATTTCTTCAGTCAGTCCGCTCGATGCTCCTTCTCGCTTCAAATATGACAAACATTTATTTTAAATGTTGTGTAATTTATTTATCATAACTCCGGTTATACCATCGACACAATTTAAAAACTGATGTATAGCCTGAAGTCTTTGCTTTTGACACAAATTGAAACAGATTTTTACAAAGAGCAATTCTTTCCCACTGGAGTAATTTCAATTGGTCATGTGACTAGGATATGAGGGCATCCAGGGGATTAATCGTCATATTAATTGTTAATGGCTAAATACCACAATTATTTGTCTTTTTTTTTTTTTTTTTTGCCAATAATGCCCATCACTATTGTCTTGTTTTGTTTTTTGAAAAGGGAACCTTTATCCTTGACTTGTTGCTGATGTAACTCTTTTTGCTTTTCACCATTTTTTTAATGCTGGCAATAAATCAAGGTTATTTTTTTTTATTCTCATTTTCATATACTTTGCACACGTGAGCATGGCTCTGTAACAATATACAACAATACCTTAATCAAGCACATACTGCTATTCACACAGTCTGTTTGTTATAAGCAGGAAGTTTAAAAATTGACTGGTTTTTTTTTTTTGGACTGAATTGGGAGGAAGTACCATGTTTTTATGATTTGACAGTTGCTCTGTTTTTACCCTCTCCTGTGTTCATTTCATCCATACGTTAATCTCCACTAACATTGTTCTCATTTACATTTTGAGGCCCTTTAAATCAATTTTGTAATCTACTGGAAACACTATTTTACTTAAAGAAAAAGTAGATATCAAGTGTGTCTTTGTGAGTGTGTCCAGGTCGTGAAGYGTCAGTTCCGTGTGTTAATGATTGAATGAAAGACAGTACAAACTAAACAAAAATCTATTAATGTTAAAAAAGCACAGTTGCACGAACAGATTCACTGAATCCGTTGGTTCGACTCTGAATCCACCACCATTTTAACATCAAGAATCTGTTAATCTGTCTGTAATAAAGGGTTAAATGGATCATTAATTGATACTCTGTCAGGGTCACGTTGCAGAAAAAGAAGTAGTTCCTGAAGTCTGTTCTGTTGCTCTTAAAGCTTTTTTCAAGGCAAATCATCACTACCAGTAAAATAAATTAGTACGTAACCTGCAAATGTTGTTCGTCTGCAAATTTATTGACCAGATTTACAGGAKAAATATGTCGTTTTATTTCTGACGCTGAATCTGAACTGACTCATAAGTCCCGTTTTTTAAAGTTTTCCTGTCTTTGTCCCGCAGGAAATGTTTGAYGCCTCGCTGAAAGACAGAGAGCTGAGTTTCAAATCAGCTCCTGGTACCACCATGTTCCTGCACTGGCTTGTGGGAATGGTTTACGTCTTCTACTTTGCTTCTTTCATTCTCCTACTTAGAGAGGTACGAATAAACAGRAAATTAATATTTCAGCAAAACATAACCAGATAATTTCATTTTTAATAATGATGATTTTTAAACTAAAAAACAATCTGTCCTCTGTCAGGTGCTGAGGCCTGGGGTGCTGTGGTTTTTGCGAAACCTGAACGATCCAGATTTCAACCCGGTGCAGGAGATGATCCACCTGCCCATCTACAGACAYCTGCGGCGCTTCATCCTGTCTGTCGTCGTCTTTGGCTCCATTGTGCTGCTCATGCTGTGGCTGCCCATCAGGCTGATAAAAGTCATGCTTCCCACGTTCCTCCCGTACAACGTGATGCTCTACAGGTAACACAACGACACCRAAAAGTCACTTTAAAACAAACCATAACCAACCACACTCGTCTGGATTGTAACTGTGTGGAAAGGAAAAGAAAAGTTTCATGTTGTTAAATGGAAAAAAATACTTTGACACGTGTAGTTTACAGATTTTTTTCGGACCCCCACCCCCTCCCTTCTTTTCCTTCCAGCGACGCCCCCGTCAGCGAGCTGTCTCTAGAGCTGTTGTTACTTCAGGTTGTGCTTCCTGCTCTCCTGGAACAGGGACACACTCGTCAGTGGCTCAAAGGYCTGGTCAGAGCCTGGACCGTCAGCGCTGGTTATTTACTGTAAGTCGAACCTGAACAGCAGGAAACACAGTYATGTTTTGTTTTTTGTTTGTTTTTATTTTTTTTTACCTAATATGTGTCTTAAAATCAAATAAAACGAGCATAAATAGCATATTTAACAAGAATATTCATCGTGTCAGGTATTTGTCAGGCTCTAACCTCTGTAACATGAGAGCCCTGTGAGCAGGCCTTCTTTCAACTGGTTACTCTCGGGTACGCCAGAGTTGGGGTTTTTTTTCTTTCTTTCTTTCTTTACACTACATAAATATTCTGAACTTTGTGAGTAGAGTGCAGGTGATTGTTATTATTTAATGAAGCCAGAGGAAGAGGCATACAGAATAAACTGTCCCGGCTTGGATAGAGGTGGTTATCGATGTTCCAGCTTCAGTGGTTGTGGTTGTTGTGCGTTGTTTACACAATCTCCAGTCCCAGTTTGTAGGTAACTTTATGTAAGTTTTGTAAACTTTCCTAAATGTTATGCTACGTTCACACCGAATGCGTTTTGAGCAGCTAAAATGCGCACGATGCCTCCAGTTGGACTCGCTACGTTCAAACCGGGACACAGACTAGATCTGCGTCTGAAGAGGGAGGAGCGTCTTGGTTTTTTCCGGTCTGTCTTCGATGGATGAAATAAAGATAAAATAAAGAAAATGGCTTTGCTTTATTTACTGAGAGCAAGTGAAYGTTGCGCACACCAGATAATTAATTCACCAGATAATTTAGAGGCGGTTTGTTAGGTTAGTTTCACTACTCCAGGAGCTGYGAGCTGAYGGACTATTTTTGKCCCGAGCCCAGTTTAACACCRCGKTYAGTTTAACGAGCTGCTGACCCACRTCGGTGCTGATATCTCCAGCCAGAACACCAACTGCAGACGGTCCATTTCAGCTAAAGAGCTCCTGTCCGTCTGTTTCAGGTTAGTGGGAAACATTCAGGAAACCGTCATGTGGAAAAATTAGTCTCTCTGATTGGTTGACGCGGCGTGTCGAGCAGCAAAAGTTCAGATTTTTGAACTCGAGCGTTGGCTGATTTGGACGCACCACATGCACGGAAAATGCTCAAACGGCACCTACAGCTGCACACCGCACCGTGCTAAACACCCTAGACGTGCCGCGCTGCCCCTAGACGYGTGTCCACCATAGAATTTGCATGTAAACCGGCCTCTCCTGCTGCTCAAAGCGCATTTGGTGTGAACGTAGCATAAATGTTGTAAGCAGCGTTAGGGTGACTGCAGTTGTTTTATTAAGCTAGAGGAAAACAAGAACAATAAATAGTGCCGTCTTGGATAGAGGAGGTGGGAAACGGTTTTACAGCTTCAGCTGCTGTTGTTGTTGTTGTTGTGTTAAATGGTAAATGGACTGCACTTATGTAGCGCCTTTCTGCCCAACCAGAATACTCAAAGTGCATGGGAAGGGGGTCTCTGCAGTCACTAAGTAGGAGTTTTTTTATTTTGTGGGAGGAGTTGACCCAAGACATGGTTGGTCGGAAGAGTTTGAAGTTTGAAGAAACTGGGGGCAGCAGGGAGTAGCTCGGTTGAGTCAGGCAGGATATGTTTTTTAAGATTAATAGTAGTCATATCTTGAGATAGGAAGGTGCCAGCTTTACGAAATTTGAATGTCGTACACGTGGTGGGACATGTAATTTGGCTTGGTCAAAACATCTCTAACCAGCCTGTAAAAAGATGGCTAAAAAGCAATATGACTATGAATATTCATAACTTGAGACAGGATGGCATTGGATGCATGAAATGTGAAGTCAATAAATTATGTTTAAATGTTCACAATAATTTTTATTTGAGTCATTGTTCTGTTTTAACTGTACATACAATCAATAAATCTTATTATTTTACTATAATTATTACTTCCATGTTGCCCCACAAGACAAGTCAATCCGACCAATCACAGTTAGTGCAAACTCCGCCCACACCTAAAGCCAACTCCGCCCACATCTGTCCTCATTTACCCATTCACACAGCACTTTATTATCTCTACAAAACTAATGTACAAATCAGTCTATGGAGACTAATCAATGCTTAAAATCACACTCATACACTGATGGGACACATCAGAGGCGGTGGGGGTTCAGTGTCTTACCCAGGGGACACTTKGACATACGACTGAACAGCAGGGAATCGAACCAACAACTATCTGGTTAGAGGACGACTCCCAYAAGKGTTGTTTTCACAATCTCTAGTTCCAGGTCAGATCGTAACTTTACATTACGTAAATAAATTTCATAAACTTCCCTAAGCTTCGCAAGTGAGGGTRGATCATTTTTATCACGATCATTTCTGAGGCAACTTTTCATCCAGTAAAATGTGTGATGGTGACAGGCCTGGACTTACCCATACATTTTGTAATTAATATATTTTAACAACCTATTTCTGTTGGCAGAGACCTTCATTCCTACCTCCTCGGCGAGCAGGAAGACAACGAAGCCAATCAAGCGGCAAACAACAACAATAACAACAACCCTCCCCAGGGTCATCATAACAACAACAACAATCCAGCCCCGCCTGTCGGTGAGGGGCTGCACGCAGCTCATCAGGCCATCCTGCAGCAGGGGGGACCAGTGGGCTTCCAGCCGTACCACCGACCCCTCCGCTTCCCWTTTCGGGTGAGGCAGACCCGTGGTTTTTTTTTTCTGGTTTCTAAAGCAGATTTTAGTCAAGAAATAAGGGATTTCATGAGACTTTAGCACACTGGTTTACATTGTAGCGAATAATTAAATTGACTGTTTTTGTATTTTCATTTTTTTTYCCCCAGATTGTTCTTCTGATAATATTCATGTGCATCACTCTGCTGTTGGCCAGCCTGCTGTGTTTAACCCTGCCAGGTAAGGTGTGGTGGCAAACAGCTGAGCTAACAGATGGTTTTCCGCTCTGTGGTCCCACCCAAACCATAATGACAACGTTTGTCTATAAATATATTCACAGAGCTTCATGTTTTCTCAGATCTGCTTTTAACTATAGTAACTGCCCTCCACCACGAGCACTACAAAGCTGGCACTGATCTGGGGTTTTGTTTTGTCACGTGTGTTTTCAGTTTTCACGGGTCGATGGCTGATGTCCTTCTGGACAGGAAGCTCCAAAATCCACGAGCTGTACACGGCAGCGTGCGGTCTTTACGTCTGCTGGCTTTCGGTGCGCGGAGTCACCGTTCTGCTGGCCTGGATGCCACAGGGACGCATCGTAATCATGCGCAAAGTGCAGGAATGGTCCCTCATGGTAAGCATCAGTGAGCAGCGGTGTGTTGTGCCAAGCAGCGATGACTTCCACAGGTCTGCTCCTAAAGCTGATTCAGAGCCAGTGTCTGACTGGGCAACAGTTCAGAACATTAAAGTGCCTGTGACATGCATGTCCATGAAATACAAAAAGTCAAAGAAAATATATTTATATTTAAGAAACTTGGCGTAATACACATGATTTGACCCGTTATGTCACATAATTGGCATATTTTCTTTTGAATTTTGCGCAGGTAAAGTGAAACAGGAAGTGACATCAAAGGGGAACTCTTTAAGAAAAAACTCCCTGGCTTTTGTTTATCGAAACAATATTATTTGAACTATCTCTTATCTCTCTATGATAGTGATTAAAATAAACTAAATAAACATCAGATTCTTCTCTTCAGCCTGTGCTGTTAGCCGTTTCAACAACGGTCTGTTTACATTCAGACATTTCCCCTTTGACATCACTTCCTGTTTCTTCACATGCAAATATCCCAACAACTGTTTATCTCAGCAGCATGAAATCTTTTTTACAATATATTATCAATGTTGTCTTTCCAAAAAAACATTCATATTTATTATAAAAAATTGATGTCATGGGCACTTTAAAGCTACAAGTGCAGCAGATATTTACTGGGACAGAGTTTAAAAAAACCCACTGAATTAATGTGTGAATTTATGAATATTTGTATCTTATTTGAAAACAATCTCAGATGTTCTAATATCATGAATGTATAAATTTATGCATGCCTGAATCCCACCAGTAGAGCCCTTTATATTTACTGTAAGACTTTGATTTAAGCCATATTTTTAAACTTTTCTAGAGATTAAAAAATGCTGTTTTTTCAGGAAAAAATGGTGGAAAACCCGTGACTCTATGGGAAATGTAATTTTTCATTCTCACTTTGCCGCTCTAGATCCTGAAGACCCTTGTCGTAGCTTTGCTGGTTGCTGGAGTCATCCCGCTGCTGCTGGGCCTGCTGTTTGAACTGGTCATCGTGGCCCCACTTCGAGTACCTTTAGACCAAACTCCTCTGTTTTATCCATGGCAGGTAGGTTTTACCTGTTGGAAGTCATTCTGTCTCTTGTTTCTAAGCATGATCTTAAAAGTTTTTTTTTAAGTGGAAGTTTATTCTGCGGTGTTGTCTGCAGGACTGGGCTCTTGGTGTGCTTCATGCCAAAATCATTGCAGCCATCACCCTCATGGGACCTCAGTGGTGGCTGAAGGCTGTTATCGAGCAGGCAGGTTTTTTTGGATACTAGATGTAAACCGGTTGTTTGTACGGAGATGATGTTTGTTGTAGAGCTGTAACAATAAACTCAACTGGATCTGTAAACTTTTAAACTTCCTCCTCAGGTTTATGCAAATGGAATTCGCAACATTGATCTTCAGTTTATTATCCGAAGACTGGCAGCTCCGGTCATCTCTGTCCTGCTGCTGTCGCTGTGTGTGCCGTACGTCATCGCTGCTGGGGTGGTGCCTGCTGCAGGTCAGTGTCTGAAAACACATACAAGATCCAGGTTGCAAAATATATATATATATATTGTGATGTGATCATTTTCATATTCTTGATCTAAAATGCTTTAAAATGATGCATAGTTTGTTGAAATTTGGCCGTTAATCATCTGGCTAGATTTACAATGAAGCCAAATATTATACGAAGGGATTTCCTGGTGTTATATAAGACAAAAATGGTCAGCTTCAAAGGAAGTCTTAAGAGTTATGAGAGAAATTGTTACTGGTACATGTATGTTAGAAAACTTAGGAAAATTATATAGTATTTTAGTTACTATTTTAGTTACTCGTATCGCTAGTTCAAGTGTGTCAAACTCACTTTTATTGAGGGCCACATGAGAATTATGGCCAGCTTAATTCAATTTTTTGCGTTCCTTGTCTTATATTTGTTAACATCGCTGACAAACAATAACTGAGCTCTACCTGGTATTTCCTGCATAGAAACGTTTCAACTCGTCCTCATAAACACTGAAAATTACTGCAACTGACTAAATGTGAAGTAAATACTACAGAAATATTATTAAGAGTTTTACTCGGTGTTGTGGTGAGTAGCTGCCATCTAGAATTCTGAACAGGGAATTCCCACTGAAGGGGCGTTTTAGTTTAAATTTACAACTTGTAAGTGGGAAATTGGCACTTCCTAGTACAACTGGACCACAGCAAAAGTAGCTGGCAAAAATGAAGTGAAATGGAAATTTTACACAGCAAATTTTGCTGGATGCCAGCTACTTTTGAACCCTGTGGATCTCCACCTCCATCACTTTGCAGGTTAAAAAAAAAAAGATAAACATGCATTATAGGAGATGCAGTTTATGCCCAGTGCTGGATTTAAAATGCCTGTGACACCAAATTKTTGTAATAAATATGAATGCATTTTTGGAAGGCTAACTTTGAAAACATATTGCAGATAACATTTCATGATGCTGACATGAACAGTTGTTGGAATATTTGCATGTGAAKAAACAGGAAGTGATGTCAAAGGGGAATGTCTGCATATGAACAGAGCGTTGCTACAGTGGCTAACAACCCAGATTGTAGAGAAGAATCTGATGTTTCTGTAGATATTTTGAGTCTCTATCGGTGAGAGATGAAGAAGAGTCAGAGTTCAAATAATATYGTTTCAATAAACAAAAACCTGGGTGTTCCTTTTCTTAAAAAAATCCCCTTTGATGTCACTTCCTGTTTCACTTTGTTTGAGCCAAGTTCAAATTAAAGTCTGCCAGTTATGTGATAAAAATGGTAAAATAACTTGTATTATGCCAAGTTTCTTGAATATAAAGATGTTTTTGTTGACTTTTTGTATTTGAAGGATATGCTTGTCACAGGCACTTTAAAGCAGCATACACTTATTTGAAGATATTAATATAAAGCTGAACGTTCAACGGCTAAAGCTGTCACGGGCCACATAAAATGCTGTGGAGGGCCACGTTTAGCATGCAGGCCTTGAGTTTGATACATATTTCAATGATATCAAACACTAATACAGTTTTTCTTTCATTACCAGTGGATTTATTTACACTTGAACTAAATTATTTCAGCATAAAGGTGAATAAAGATGTATGTTTTGTTGCAGGAGTCACCCCTGAGATGGAGATATTAATGCAGAGGAGGATCTACCCATTCCTTCTGATGGTGGTGTCACTCATTGGCATCCTGTCTTTCCAGATAAGACAGTTCAAACGCCTTTATGAACACATCAAAAACGACAAGTACGAATCTTTTATCACACAAATGGGTAGAAATTTATGTTTTTGTTTCTGTAAATGTTTTTCTTCTAACAATTAGGATTACGCTAAAGTAAAATGTATGTGTTTAACTTTGCCTGTTTAGTTTTGTATTAAAAGTTTATTCCAGAAGTTAAAAAATATTGAATAATAATCAGTGTGAAAGTTTTATATCATCATTTTGAGATCATTTTTCCTTCCGTACGTTTTTCAGCATCTAACTCGTTCCACAATTTTTTGTGTTATTTCAACAATTCATATATCAAAACATTCAGCTCATTTATGACAATTCTGCTATGACTTTTGGTATTTCAGGTATTTTTACTTTTGCAGCTATTTCACTTTTTTATCCACTTTTTTGCCACTGAAGATGAATGGAGCTGTTTACAACATCCTTAAAATCCCTTAAAATGTTTCTAAATCTTTACAGAACCTTACACATTTTACACATTATACATCGGGGAA